CTAAACATTGTACGCGAGACGCAAAGCAGTTTGGGGCAAGTTCGACACATAAACGCCCATAGATCAGATTGTGGATAAGTGGTCAGTTAAGATAAGATAAGATTACTGACTCATTTTTGAGAATTTGCAGGTCTGTATAATTTCTTACCATCACCACCACATTCTGTCAGCGAGTGCGGGTCCTGCTGAATTTGATCTTCGGCTATTCATCGTCCTGGGCTGCCTGATTCTAGAGGCATGTCGCTCTCCCTCGCACCCTCATCTCGCTCGAGATTGAGCTCTGGATAGACTTAAATACCTCTGAATCGTTTGCTTCGAACACAAGTTAGAGGATTGGGCGGTCTTTCGGCAAGTACTTCTCGCTTTGAGTGGTATGTGTGCTCTAACCAGAGCACAGTGATGCTTCTTCTTTTCGGCTCTTCATATCTCTCGGCCTCCAAGCGAGCAGCGCTCCTACAGCAGATTCAAGCCCTCTGCGCAGACATAATCTCTGTCGATGCGAACTACGTGCATCTTATTTCATGCAAGTCGGAGACATCTGAGTTGGAGCTTAATGACCTCTCATCGTCTTCGCGCCGCGTCTTGGACACGCTACTGGCTTATGGCGACGACATCAGGCTTCCTGGCACGACAGAGGCCTTCAACTCACGATGCAACATCTCGTTCGTGCTACCGAGAGCTGGATCCATCTCACCGTGGTCTAGCAAGGCTACGGATATTGCCCGCATCTGCAATCTTGGAGATCATATCGACAGACTCGAGCGCGGTGTTGCCTTCGTCCTAAAGACGTCTTCAGGACGTTCTATCACTGAGGAAGAAGTGCAACATCTCTTCTACCTTATCCATGATCGCATGACACAAACTATTTGTCTCTCGGTTCCCCAGGAGGATGTGATCTTCGAGCACAAGCACATCAGTCCGCTGCGCGTTGTGGACCTCCAGAGCCAAGACTCTGTCGGTACTTCTTCTCGGGAACGTTTGATCGCCGCCAACAAGGAACTCGGCCTCGCATTATCGCTAGATGAGATAGACTACCTCATCGACGCGTTTGTTTCTGGTTCCTCACCCATCAATCGTAATCCCACGGATGCCGAGCTGTTCATGTTCGCTCAGGTCAACTCCGAACACTGTCGTCACAAGATCTTCAATGCGTCATGGGAGATTGACGGCAGGAAACAGGAGACATCTCTCTTCCAGATGATTCGGAACACGGAAAAACTGAACCCTACTAGTACCATCTCTGCTTACTCCGACAACGCTGCCGTTTTCGAAGGTCACTCTGCACCCCGGTTTGGCGCCACTAACTCCAGACCAGATGCGGCGAATCCCAACGCACCGAATCTGTATCAGTCGCACATCGAGGATATGCCCATTCTCGTCAAGGTCGAGACCCATAACCACCCAACGGCCGTCTCGCCGTACCCGGGAGCAGCCACCGGCTCTGGCGGTGAGATCCGTGACGAGGGCGCTGTCGGTCGAGGATCAAAGCCAAAAGCCGGTCTGTCGGGCTTCACGGTCTCCAACCTGCTTATACCCGGTTTTGAGCAGCCCTGGGAGACAGACTTCGGCAAGCCACCGCACATCTCTTCCGCCCTCGACATCATGATCGATGGACCACTGGGCGCGAGCGCATTTAACAATGAGTTCGGTCGCCCAGCTCTCGCGGGCTACTTCCGTACTTTCTCAGAGAGCGTTCCCATTAGCGAAGACGGTGTTCGCGAAGTTCGCGGGTACCACAAGCCCATCATGATTGCCGGTGGTCTCGGTAACGTCCGCCCACCATTTGCGAAGAAGTCGAGAATCTCGCCCGGTGCCAAGGTCGTCGTACTCGGAGGACCTGGGATGCTAATCGGTCTTGGAGGTGGTGCCGCTAGCAGCCAGGTCTCTGGAGCGAGCTCCGCGGAGCTGGACTTTGCCAGTGTGCAGCGCGACAACGCCGAGATGCAAAGGCGCTGTCAGCAGGTCATCGACGCGTGTGTCAACCTTGGCGATGCCAGTCCGGTCCAGTCCATTCACGACGTTGGTGCTGGTGGCCTCTCGAACGCTCTTCCAGAACTTGTCCACGATTCTGACCTCGGCGCCACCTTCGAAATTCGCGATGTCCTTGTCGCGGACTCGGGCATGTCCCCCATGGAGATCTGGTGCAACGAAAGCCAGGAGCGCTACGTTCTCGCGATATCGCCTGAGAGCGAAACCCAGTTTAGGGCCCTTGCGGAACGCGAACGGTGCCCTTTCTCTATCGTCGGTGTTGCGACGGCCGAGGAAGAACTCGTCGTCACGGACCGCCTGCTCAAACAGGATGTCATTCGTCTTAAGATGTCCACCTTGTTTGGCAAGCCTCCGCAGATGCACCGCACTGACAACACTCGTTCAATTGCTGGCGTGCCCTTTGATGCCACACTGAGCAAGTACCTACCCTCTACTCGCGAGCGTCTAGCAGTCGCCATCGACCGTGTCCTCCACTTACCTTCCGTCGGTTCGAAATCGTTCTTGATCACTATTGGTGACCGCACTATCACCGGTCTTGTGACTCGGGACCAAATGGTCGGCCCATGGCAGGTGCCCGTCGCAGACGTCGCCGTCACTCGCACGTCTTACGGCTTCGATGTTAAGAGCGGCGAGGCCATGGCGATGGGCGAACGCACCCCTGTTGCGTTGCTAAATCCTGCCGGCTCCGCCCGAATGGCCGTTGCCGAATCTCTGACAAACCTCATCGCTGCCAACATCGGTGATCTCGATCGCGTGAAGCTCAGCGCAAACTGGATGTGTGCTGCCTCGAAGGCGGGAGAGGGCGCGGCGCTGTACGAAGCTGTCAAGGCCATCGGCATGGACCTCTGCCCCGCCCTTGGCATCGGAATCCCCGTTGGCAAGGACTCTATGTCGATGTCGATGAAGTGGAAGGAAGGCGCAGAACAGCGCGAAGTCAGCGCACCGTTGTCGCTCATCGCGACCGCTTTCGCTGCGGTCGAAGACGTCTCCGACACATGGACCCCACAGTTGCGCACGGACATCAACGAGCCTACCATTCTGGCCTACTTCGATTTGGCTCATGGCCGGCAGCGCCTTGGTGGTTCTGCTCTTGCTCAGGTGTTCAAGGAGATCGGCTCCGAGGCACCCGATGTCGAGGACGCGGCCCGTCTCAAGGCGTTCCTCACTACCTGCCAGTCTGTCAAGACTGAAAAGCCCGATCTTGTTCTTGCTTACCACGATAGGTCCGACGGCGGGCTTTTCACTACTGTTGTGGAGATGGCCTTTGCTGGACGTACGGGCGTTGAGATTTCGCTCGACAAGGCTCTTTCCGACGGACAAAACTGCGTGCCCCTGCTTTTCAACGAGGAGCTCGGAGCTGTCGTGCAAATTCGCGAAAGCGACTTCGGAGCTCTCAGGACCCACTTCGGTCAGGCTGGCTTCCGCGAATCCGCTATCTACCCCATCGGACGGGTCTCGCACGATCGCACAAACCAGATCATCACAATCAGCTACAATTCGGACGTCCTCTTCAGCAGCACTCGCGCGGCACTGCAGGAAGCCTGGGCCGAGACCTCGTACAAGATGCAGTCGCTCCGCGACGACCCTCAATGTGCTGAGAAAGAATTCGCCCTCATCAAGGACGAAAAGCACACCGGCCTCTTCTTCGACCTCACTTTCAGGCCCGAGCCACTCCGCAGCCTCTTCAGCCGGCCCAGTGTAGCGATCTTGCGCGAGCAGGGTGTCAACGGCCAGATCGAGATGGCGTGGGCCTTCACAGCGGCGGGCTTCGACGCCGTCGACGTGCACATGTCCGATATCCTCAGCGGGCGCACCGACCTCGCGGACTTCCGGGGGCTCGCCGCGTGCGGCGGCTTCTCGTACGGCGACGTCCTCGGCGCGGGCAAGGGCTGGGCGAACTCGGTGCTCCTGAATGCGCGCACGCGCACCCAGTTCGCGTCCTTCTTCGCGCGTGCCGACACGTTTGCGCTCGGCGTCTGCAACGGCTGCCAGCTCATGAGCAACCTGCGCGAGGTCGTCCCCGGCGCGGACGCGTGGCCCGACCTCAAGCCGAACCGCTCCGGCCGCTTCGAGGGCCGCGTGTGCATGGTCGAGGTCGTCCCCGGCGCGGTCACCGCCGCGTCCGTCTTTCTCCACGACATGGCGGGCTCGAGGCTCCCCGTCGCCGTCGCGCACGGCGAAGGCCGTGTCTCGTTCCGCGAGGCGGGGCAGCGCGCACAGCTAGAGACGGCCGGCCTCGTCGCGGTGCGCTACGTCGACCCAGCCGGTGTACCGACGGAGGTCTACCCGCTGAACCCCAACGGCAGCCCCGGCGGCATCACCGGCATACAAACTCCCAACGGGCGGGTCCTTGCTCTCATGCCTCACCCCGAGCGCGTAGTTACTTTGGAGAGCAACAGCTGGTACCCTGCAGAGATGGCGGAGAGCTGGAAGGGCGTTGGCCCGTGGTTCAGGTTGTTCCAGAATGCACGCCGATGGTGCGGAAACTAGCGCAAGGAATTGAAAAAATAACATGTAGTTATTGCCTTACGGTCGTGTATTATTATCCCCAAAAGTAGCATTCCAATGCGCATACATATAGTTCTTCTATGGGTCGTGGCGACAGTCAGTTACGAACGTCATTGTTTCATGGTGTCCAACAGTTTCCAGGAGCACTGAATGCCAAAGGTACCTATACGAAGCAATGGGAAAGGTTTTGCAAGAATATCCTAATCCTGGGAGAAAGGATAAACGATGGGATTAGGCTAGAGAGTGTTATGCTGTCCGAATGCGACGCTTCTACGATAATGGAGTCCGTTGGGAGTTGATTTGATACATGCGGCGATGATGGTGGCGAAGTCATGCGTGCTCAGGAGGATAAATGATGCAATGGGTGAGGGGGTATGGTAGATGCTAACGTAGATAGAAAAGATAGGTAAGTAGACGTCGTTGAGCAGACGCCAGGGTAGCGTTCAGGTCACTCCCGCAATTAACGCATAAAACCCCCCTGCATTTCGAGGGCAGGTTGGCTGTACTGCGCTGCAGGAGTATCTTGGACCTTCTCCTCCGGTGTGCTGTTCTTGTCCGCGGCGGCCGTAGCGGCAGTCGGGTCGCCGATACCGGCGCGAGTTCCCCAGCCGGTCTGCCACGAGTTATAAATAGACGAAAACAACGACTTCAAGAACGCAACGCACCTCGTGCAACGTGAGAAGAGCATAGATCTTCATCACGGCAAAGTAGTAACCGAAGAGGATGAAGGCAGGGATGTAGATAATGTCCTGCGGGCGATACCACAGGTGTGGCAGCAATTTGGCTGACCGTGTCGCCAACAGCCATACGAAATAGGACACTATCACGTTCCTAAGGCCAAGTAAGCATAAGAACGCTGGGTCGTATCGAGGCACGCACCACCAGGGGAGATGATAGCCACCGTCTGCGACAGGTATCGTGCTCTTGTAGACGATATAGGCGACAAAGCACGGGCCGACGAGAAGCGTGAAAGGATTGAAGAGCTTGTCCACCTGAGAGGACAAGGTGATCAGCACTGCATCAGCACAGCTATTCGATCAGATCAATCGTGCGCACCATCGTGTACGCAACATAAGGATGCGATGTCCATATGTATCGTTCCATAAATAGCGAGCGCAAATCCGACCGCCAGGTATTCCGCGTCCAACGCAAGACTTGCTTGAGGAACCGCCAGTTGGGCTTCATGGTACTCAGTAGCTCAGCCTCTTTGCAGCACTGGACGTAGGTACTCCAGCCATGGCTGACCATCCAGCGGGTAAGGAATTTGTCGTCACCAGAGTTGAGCTGGTATTTGCCGAGCCAATAATCATGTGTGAAACCGTGGAGGAATTCAGGGTCCTTGAGAATGACGGTGCGGTAAGCAGCGGTCCGCCCTGAGAGGCAAGGCAGGCCGCCATCAATGTGCGTAGAGGAGGATATCTCGATGTTACGGATGGAGAGACGGAAGGCGGCGAGGACCTCCCACACTGTCATGCGATCCCCGACTGGCTGCACACGCTGCGAAGTGCCGACACCGCCCATCTTCTGGTCCTCGAAGCAGGCGAGGACGTAGGGAAGTAGGGTGGGGGGCCATATTGCGTCATCGTCAGCGAAGACGATGATATCGGTCGTCGTATTCTTGATCCCATGGGACATCTGAAGTCGCTTGTTGGCGTACGGTACGGTGAGGACGCGGATACGTTCCGGATCGACGGAGTTAGCGAGCTCCTGCAGGGGACCCAGCATCTTTTCCTCCGTGATGATCAGGATCTCCTTCGGCTTGCCCGCGAGCCAACTGTGAGCGGCCTCCTTGAACTCCTCGCCGGCGTCGATTGTTGGCACAATAATCGTAACATCCTCTTCGGCAATGTAGGTTGGATTTTCAGGAAGCGGCACGGGGCGGTACGTGAACGAAGCGAGAATACGGATGAGGTACCAAAGGTAACGGTAGAAACTGCGGGCTAAGTGAGCTTCCTCCCCATCGCAGATGCTTTAAGCCTACGCCTACCCGATAACCCCGAATGGTACAACTACGAGGGATGTAGTCAGTAAAAAGAAAAAACAGAGGGGATGCTTGCGTTCCATGAACTCACAGACTGGGAAGTGATCAGACGTCAGCCGAAGCATGGCTTGGTCGTCCTACTCCGTGTAGGGCGTACCAATGTGTGTAAAGAGCGACGAAGGTAGCAAAGACGGCGAGGACAGCGTCGCCGCTGGTAGCGGGCGCGGCAGTCGTGGTGGTTGACGACAAAAAGGTTCTTTCAACGTCGCCGCCTTGTTGTCGCCAGCCACAAGGACCCCAGCATATCCGCCAAGAAGTTCGAACCCAAAGCCCCACTTTGGGGGAATTTGTACCCGGGCACTTTTGCCCGAATTTGTACCTTGGAAGGGTCGGATCGCGCCCCTTCGCACGCCTTAAGCATATCTTTCATCACAGAAGTTAGATAGAAGCAGTCGTGTTCCGCGCAGATTCTGTGCCAATAGTACCCGTCGCGCTTCGCGCGTTCTATCCTAAGCCTCGCTTCAGGCGAGCGAATAATCACATTTATCGGACTTACCGCGGTGTTCGTCGTTTTGTTAGAGGCCGGCTGCCCGAGACTGGCCAGTTGTAGGCGGATTCCGATAGATCTTCCCCCCTCCCCGACACGCGTTTGTGCCCAGCGATTTCGCAGTCTTCTAGGCGGCTTCTGTGCATTTGTACCCGGATTGGGATTTGAATGCGGCCCTCGGGGTGAGTTCGGTTTGGATCCAGACGAGGATGGGACCTGGTAGGGAATACGCCGGGGTCCTTAGCCATAGCTCTCGCCAGCGGAGATTCGCTAGCGGGGCCGATCGACTGACCGTGATGGTCTTGTGGCGCTCGGACGTTCAAATCCCGACGGGCCGCACTTTCCATCTCACAAACGCCAGCCATTTCCTCCCAGCAACGCCAGCAGGCTGCTGGGTTCGATTATACTAACATTTTTCTCGCCTTTTAGCTCAGTTATAACCTTGTACACAGCTGGGGTTTGCAGATTGGCGGGTTTACTCCGGTTAGTTGCTGTAAGCGCCTGCTTGCGCTTAGATGCTTGGCGACGTCACCGGCGCCGGGACAGCTTGCTTACACGCGGAAGCCAGACAGGAGCTTTCGTCCGATACTCAGAGCTCAAGTTGAAAATTACATGTTCTCAGCTTCACATCATAGGTTCGAGGTACGTTTACGATGTACGAACGCTTGTTATCTTTACACAACCTCTAGGACATAGCTCTAAACCCGCACGCGGCTCGCACAGACATCACAAATGGAACCAGTGCAAGAACATGCTTCGCTTATGCGGTCGGGAGAGGTTTGGTACGATGATGGCAATGTCGTGCTACAGGCCGGCGACACCCTCTTCAAAGTGTATCGCGGTGTTCTCAGCAGAGAATCGCCCTTCTTCAGGGACATGTTCTCTCTGCCTCAGTCGGATGCTGCCACGGCGGAATGCTATGACGGATGTCCGATTATTCCTGTGCATGATAAGCCAGTTGAGATGAAGAAATTTCTTACTGCTACGCATAATTATGAGTGAGTCACCCTGATTGGCTGCGTGGCACCAATAGCTATAAGTTCACCTGCGCTCCAGGTACCATTTCAATGGACGTTTTGATTGTATCGACTATGTCGCTATCCTCAAACTCGCCTCGAAATATCAGGCAGAGACGCTACGCAGACGGGTTGTCGAGACCTTGCAATACGTCTATCCCGACACCCTAGATGGATTCGATAAGGCTCGCATAGCGGGCTGGCACTTTCCTGCTACCCATCCTCTACACAAACTAAGCCTGAACGACTTCTCCACGCATGTCGCGGTTATCAATTTGGGGACCGAGCGGGGTGCGTCGGTCCTCCTGCCCAGCGCAATGCTCCGCGTGCTGGTGAGGGGCATCGACAGCATCGTGAATGGCGAACAGTCTACGCAGCTGGACGCACAGAGCCGGGACACGCTGCTCTCCGCGCTTCCCGCGCTCTCGCTGCTCGCCCGGCAGCACACCTTCGAGGTCCTCTTCCGCGACGCGTGCGGGCTCTCGGACCAGTGCATGCAGATCGACTACTGCGACCGAACGCGCCGGCAGCTCGTGCGCACGCTCGAGAACCCTTCGCTCGCGCACATGATCAGCCCGTTCCACATCCTCGGGTTCGGCAACAAGTCCAAGCACATTCAGAACCTCTGTCCCGATTGCCGCACGGCGCTCAAGAAGTGCTACGACGCTGGGCGCAAGCTCGCGTGGGAGAAGCTGCCGGCAGTCTTCAAGCTGCCCGAGTGGGATGAGCTGAGGAGGCTCGCGAGAGAGTCTGACACTCCAGGAGAACAGGGAGAGGCCGCGGACGAGAGTGAAGTAGACCCTGAGGATGGATAGCGTGCCGGGGCCTCAGGCTGACTCAGTTCCAATTATCCAACATCTCATGTGCAGGTTTGACAGACTTTATTTTCTTTTGCAGGTACTGTATTGTACATTTTCATATCCATACCTGACCGTCGCTCGAGTGGCCGGTGTCCCTTCATCTTCGCCATCGCCACAACCTGCGACTTGCCATCACCGGCATCTCCCTATGCCGAGACATTGAACTCTTACCAGCTATCTGCCAAACAGGTAATTCTTTGTTGTTCTGTGCGACACTGTATGTTCTGCCAGGGTCCGTGTTTCGGTCTCCTACCCGGCGGCGGGTGTGACATGTGACGGTCGACCACCGTGGTGACATGTGACATCGGTCAAGAATACGGAGGTCAAACGGCGGCGGCCAGGCGTGACCCTACAGAGTGGCAACACGGACAAGAACGGCGATGGTGTCACGGAAGGCGCAAGTAGGTTTTTTCTTATACAGCT